CCCCAAAACCCCAAAACCCCAAAACCCCATTTCTTTATTGTGGTCATAGTAAGAGATTAACATTCAGAAATGAATTAATAAATTTGATCATATTGTAGAATTGTGCTCAACATCATCCTCTGCATTAATTGAATGAGGAATATTATCTCTTCTCTGCTGCTATATATTGCTGCTTCCACTATCAGTCTAAGGAGTGAGTCTATTGTAAATTGCTTCCTATTCCTCTCTCTTTCTTCTCTTTTTCTCATTCACTATCATTATTATTTTTATTATCGCTATGGTTATAATGACCAAGGGTACTGCGATAACAATAGCTAACCACCAAGGGACATTTGATGGCGAGGAATCACCATCATCATCAATTGCTTGCATATTCAAACTAGAGAAACAGAATTGCTTAAGATCACTTATCTTTTGACCAGTTATTGTATCATTTAGCTTCATGCCTTCAAAGTATTTTGCTACTAAATCCCATGAGCATTCAAAGTTTTCATTGCATTCAAATGAAGAAGATTTAACTGGCTAATCATCAAAGTAAAACTTCACATAGTAATCAGATCTATCATAGTCACTAACCACTGGTTGTGGATTATAGTTTCTGATATAGAATTAGATCACCAGAGAAGATGAAAATAAGGGCACTTGTTTGTCCTGTAAATCTAATGCAGCTATAAATGATGCTAAGTAATCTTGGTCTACTTGATGATACCAGTATTTCTACTTTTTCAGATGCACTGTTGAATTATCATTCTTCCCAACAACCTCTTCAGCTCTACCATCAAATAAAAAGATCAGATTCTTGAATAATTCTTAGTTAGCTACTTATTATACAGTTTTGTTACTATATTTATATGAGTAAAAGTAGTCTTTCATAAAAGCTTTGATCTCATTAATTTCTTCTTCAATAGGAGTGTAATTTGTATACCTCATTTCAAACCAGTTGGTAAAGTATTCATCAGCAAATGCCTTAGCATCAGCAATCGAAAAGTCCTTTTTAATGTTCACCTTATTCTTTAAGAATTTGATTATTCCATTCTAGTACTTTTGCATTATTTACTTCACTTATGTGTTGTTAGCTAGATTATACTGCTGGATAGAATTAATGATAGGACACTACTTTGAGTCCTAGGGATTAAATAACATAGAAAAGTCATTTCCAGCATTTGAATGAATAGGAATAGTCTATATGTCTTGCAAAAGAGGATAACCATCTAGTTCGTTTATCAGTTAGTCTCTATCAAAAACTTCGATTGGGGGCACTGCAATTTAAGTCTGATTATCCCATAGTTTTTGTTATAGCCCACTTGGATAGAGTCCACTCAGATAGCTCATAGCTGACACATAGCAGTAATCTTTATTCATACTAAAAGCATATATTTGTTCAGAGTTGGGCAGTTTATCCAAAAATTAGCTAGGATCTTCAATGTATCTTCTGCGCATTTCTCTCCCTCTAAGATACAATTATCTCATTCCTACAGGAGTTAATTAACTTGCTTATTGATTGTAATTAACTTAGGAAACTGATTAGTCAATTATGAATTAATCTGGAACTTTTGACCCGTGATTAACCATATCGTAAACAAATAGTAGTTATTCCTTGCTAATTACTTATTAATAAACCACATTCAATAGTAATATAGTGCACATCTTAGCATTTACTCTAAATATTGATTTGAATACTGACGAATCTGCTTATGTTTTAAAACCTTATTTCATGTTTTGATTTAACTTATAATTTAATGTTATATTATAGACTTAAATAATTATTAATTTAAATCATTCAGGTTTGGCTAATCATTTTAGGGATCCAAGCGAATTAAATACAAGTTAACTTTTAAAACAGATTAATAATTAAAAGTGCGCTAAATGGAGGAACAACTAGATTAGTAAAAATTGCAGCCTGATTTTCAAGAATCACAAATTGACACTCAATAATAAAATAGTAATTCTCAAGATCAACAAAGATAGACTGAATCTAACATGAATTAAAGTCAAGATGGATAGGTGAGGAAATCTGCAAGATTTATTGAGTAAGAAGAAATTTAAAAGTCAAATAGCAAGAATTCAAAGAGATTTGTAGATACTATCAAATTTGATGCCAGTCTCTATTAGTCTGCTGATGATGAGAGTGAAGATGACAATGATGCAGCTAATAATAATAACGGTACTTAATAAAATAGGAATGAAGAGTATGACATTGATTAAGCTAGAAAAGAGAGATCTACTAAAAAAGATCGTAAGTAAAAGCCGAGAAATTTACAAAAGAAAGAAATAGCTCCATCAATAAATAAGAATTAATCACTCATAGAGGATATTCAAAGAAGGGAGTAAGAGGCTTCAAAGTCTCGTAAATTCATTAATATCAAAGTTGATCCTTGTTGTGAGATTTCTAAAGTTTAAGTTGTGGACGACTATTCTTGCTATTTGCAGTAGAGTGATATCGCGTATAATGAAAAGGAAGCAACTAAGTTTTATAAGATGTAACTACTTGTAAGAGATGATCAAAAAAAGTGGTCTTTATGGGTTCAATAAGGGCGTGTTGGTTATGAATAAACTGCACCTACAAGGGTAACTGACTATTACAATAGATATGATGGAATAGTAGAATTTGAGCTTAAATTTATTGATAAAACAGGAAATAAATGGCAAGATAGGGAGTTTTTCCAACAAAAACCAGGAAAGCATATATTAATAAAAAGAGAGCATGATAAAGAGTTAGTCAAAAAGATGAGGGAAAATGAAAAATTGATACTAGAAATAATTTAGGAGAGCAGGAGTAAATATGCAATTCAAAAGGTCTAAGATCATAGTATAAGGTAATTAGTTGAGATGGCTTGGAACTTTGATTTGATGAAAAAAATAAAGGAAGAGATGTCACTTGATGTTGAAAGACTTCCAATGGGGAAACTATAAAAAGATTCAGTTGTTAAAGCATATAAGATTCTAAGGGAGATCTCAAAGGTTATTATACAACAAAAAAAGTAATTATATATCATAATTTTCAACTTAAAATTAGCCCTGATGTATTAATTGCTGCATTATCAAATGATTTTTATGCTATTTTGCCTCACAACTTTGGCATGAGAAAACCCACATTAATCGATCATGTCATTAGAATTAAGGAGAAGATTAAAATCTTGGAGAGTCTTCAGCATATTGCTAACGCTGAAAATTTGATGATAAATTCAGAGGTAATTTAATTTATTTATTAATTTTATTCTAGTATGAACTGAAGTGTGTTCATCCTCTAGACTTATAATATCAATTGCTATCAACCTAAATTAAACCATTAGAAAGTTCATCTAAAATTTTTAATGTTATCGAGACTGCTTTTGAAAATACTCAGGCTGAAGCACATTTGTCACTTAATCTTAAATTAAGGGGCATTTATACTACTAAGAAATTGAGTGAGCAATTGAGATTCATACCATTTGAAAAATAGCTTCACAATAAATTTTTGCTATGGCATGGTGTTAAGCAAGTTAATCTTGCTTCAAATTTAAGAGAGGGTTTAAAGATGCCAGTTAATGAAGCACCTTCAACCACCTATATGTTTGGAAAAGGCATCTATTTCACCGACTCTTCTTCCAAGGCTGCCAGGGAAAGTGTGCTTACTGGCACTAAAGTAGGTGATGGATTTCTATTCCTATGTGAAGTTGCCCTAGGTGATATGCATAAAGCTTTCTAACCTAATAATTTTAATAAGCCACCTAACTATCATCACTCAGTTTACGGTGTTGGACTATAAAAACCTAAGCTTATAGGTATCAAAGACCTAAAAAGTGAAGATTAGGATTCATTTATGCCTAGTGAGTTAACTATTTGCAGTCCATAAGCATTATTCTTAAATACAGGAAAGTTAGTACCAAATCCAGATTTGCAAGAAAATAAAGGCAGCAATAAAATTGATCATAAGCTTAATGATTACATCGTTTATGATGAAGCTCAAGTAAAGATAAGCTATCTGGTGCATTTTACCTATGATTTAACCTCTATGTGAGAGTATAATTATGTTGTTTAGAATTTTGAGACAGAAATATTTAGCTTCCTTATTTTATCTTAAAATCTAATGACGGGGTTTTGGGGTTTTGGGG